ATCTCAGGCTTATCTCAAACTTACTATGTAGTCAAGGATGACCTTGAACTTCTGATCCTCCTGCTTTTACCACCAAGTACTGATATAAGTATTGTTATTTTTTTAAAGGTTATTTTTATTATTTTATATATTTTTATTACTTTTCATATATTTTATTATCATTTATTATTTTTATTATTTTATATATGTCTGGTTATCTGTATATGCAGCACATGCATATAGGTACCTATGGAGGCCAGAAGAGTATATAAAATCCCCTGGAAATGGCATTAAAAAACAGATTTAAAATGCCTGGTATAAGTGCTGTGAACTGAACCCAGATCCTCTGCAAGAGCAACAACTGCTCTTAACAACTAGTCCATCTCTCCAACCCACAGGTATCTTCTTTAACTTTAATTTTCTTTATTCCTTTTTTTTTTTTTCTTGAGACAGCATCTCACTATACAGTCCCTAGATGGCCTGAAATTCAGTTACGTAGGCAAGATTGGCCTGGTCTCAGAGATCTGTCTGCCTCAGCCTCTCAAGTACTAGAATTATAGGCATGTACTATCACACATGGCAATTATTGTTTTTAGACATCACACAAAATAACATTTTGACATTTTCATACATATAATTATTTCTTGCTCAGATTCCCTCCTCCATCCCCTATCCATGTGATAGTCATCAGCATACATAAGCAGCTCAAACATCAAAGATAATTCATCTTAGTGTTTTAAGGAAGCAGCTGAGAAATATTAACCCAATAACAATCTAAAGATATGTATAAGGAACCTAGAATTTGATGGAAAAGAACTTACCCAGAATACTCCACCGTTCCAAGCACAACACTGGAAGATTCTACTAACAATGCGTGGCTCACTGGAAAAGATCATATCAGTTTAGCTTGTAAGGCCCACAGGCTGTTTCTAACGTTATCTAATAACTCTCCATTTTACAGCTTCTATTGGCACCATATTATCTTTGAGCACCTAATGTTCTCCCAATGTTCTAATTCAGTCCATAGGAAAAGGCTACCATGTTTCCAAGGAACCAGGTGTTTTTGTTTTAGAGACAGGGCCTCATTATATAGTCCAGACTGGCCTCAAACTCCTGGCAGTCATCCCGTCTCGGTCTTCACAGTACTGGAATTACATGCATGTGCCATCACACACAGGTGAAGAAACCAGCTTTCATATTTTGTTGTCAGTTTGAGACAGGATTTCACTATGTAGCCCTGGCTGGCTTGGAACTCACTATTTGGCTTCAAACTGCCTGCCTCTGCTCCTAAGCACTGGTATTAAAACTATGCATCACCAGCTTTGCTTTAAAAACTAAAAAGGAGCTGATAAAATGGCTTACTGCTAAAAGTGTCACAAGTCTGGCAACCTGAGTTTGATTCCCTGAATCCATGTAAAAGGTGGAAGGAGAAGTTAATTCCACGAAGTTGTCCTATGACATCTACACATGTGCTGTGAAATGGACATAATCTCCCAATGATAAATAATTTTTTAAATGTTTTTATGTATATGGGTGTTTTGCCGCATGTGTGTCTGTGTACCACCTATGTGCATTATCCATGCAGGCTAGAAGAGAGCCTTGGATGCCCTGGAACCAGAATTGTAGACAGCTGTTAAGCTCCATGCAGGTGCTGGGAACTGAATCCAGGTACTCTGGAAAACCAGTAAGTACTCTTAACCACTGAGCCATCTCTCCAGCCTCCAAATAAAACAAACGTACATACATACGTACGTAACACGTGTGTGTGTGTGTGTGTGTGTGTGTGTGTGTGTGTGTGTGTGTGTGTGTGTGTTCTTCCCTCTAAAGTCTGAAGTTAGAGCATATTAAATAAAAAAGTCTAGGTAGGGTTTACTCTATCAATATATAAATCCATACAGACTTTCCCATAAATATCCATCAAATCAAATACTGTTGTAGTCCTATTTAGCACTCTTGATTTTATTTTTGTTGTTGTTTAATTTATTGTGGTGTGTATAAGATCCATGTAGAGGTCCAAAGACACCTCTGGAGCTGGTTCCTCCTCCAGCTTTCCTTGAGTTCCAAGGACCAAACCCAGGCCATCACACTTGCTTAGCAGGCACCTTTTGCCCCTGAGCTATCTCACCAGTAGATTTTATTTTTTAATAATCTGAGTTTAAGAGAGTCTGTGTGTGTGTGTTGAGGTGGGGGGAATCACCTATAACATTTTCCTATTAAAAAAAAACACTAATAGGATGCTGAAATTCTAATTTATTATGTATGGCCTTCACTCTCATTTCCTGTTCTTAGTATATGCCCCTCTGGTGACAGCTTGGGATGCAGGCCTGTACTCCTCACCTCTCTTGTTTCCGCTCTACACTCTGGGCTCTCCTCTGGGCCAAGACACTACTTGCCCTTCTTCGGCGCTGCTCCTCTCTCTTCTGCTGGATCCGAGCATCTAGTTTTGAGATGGTACAGATGCCCCAGATTGAGTCTTTGATTCCCTGTAGATAAGGACATTTTTAAAGAGAGATTGTGGGCTGGAGACTTTCCAAAATTACACACAGGAAAGTGAGTAACAATGGAAACCACAGCATTTATTTTGCTACCGAGCAAAAGGAGAGTGATTTGTGCCTCCAGTGCTGTGATGGAACTCAGCACTCTGCCACTGAACTATACCCTCACCCTTTATGCATTCTTTATTTTTGTATAATATTACTTTAACTATGTAAACATGTGTTACATTTGTTTATATTGTAGAATATTACTTTAGCTATGTAAAGGTATGTTGCATTTGTTTATGCTGCATTTGTTAAACTATGTAAAGGTATGCTACACTTGTTTCAACTTGCCTGCTAAGGCACCTGATTGGTTTAATAAAAAGCTGAATGGCTGAGTTGGGCAGAGGCAGGCAGCTCTCTGTGAGTTTGAAGCCAACCTGGTCTACAGAATAAGTTCCAGGACAGCCAAAGCTACACAGAGAAATTGTCTTAAAAAACAAACAAACAAACAAACAAAGGCTGAATGGCCAACAGCTAGGCAGTAGAGGGATAGACAGGGCTAGCAGGCAGAGAGAATAAATCAGAGAAGGAATCTGGGAGGGGAGAAGGAGGGAGGGGAAGGGAGGGGGGAGAGAACCAAGGAGCTGCCCAGGGTCAGCCAGCCAACAGACAGACAGACATAGAAGAAGCAAGAAAGTAGGACATACAGAATGAAAGAAAGGTAAAAAGGCCCAATGCAAAACACAGATGAAGAGAAAGTTAAAGTAAGTTATAAGAAGTAGTGGGACAAGCCTAAATGAAGGCTGAGAATTCATAAGGAATATTAAGTCTACACATCTTTATTTTGGACCTGGTTGGTGGCCCAAAGAAAATTTTCAACTACAATCCTTAATTTACAAAAGAACTGCAACAGTAGAGAACCTCAAAACTCCTTTAGACCAGAATCTCTAGTTAGTATTTTTTTTCCATATTAATATATACTCTTATCCAAACCATTCAAGTAGTTTTTTTTATCACGCTCCCTTGGGCAGAGGCTGAAACAGGGTCTCACCACATAAGTCAAACTGACTTCAAACTCTTGATTTTCTTGCTCCAGCTCCCAAATACTGGGAACAAAAGTATAGTGGCCAACATGACTAGTTTATCAGGCCCTTGTATGGTCATTTTTCAGGAGGTATCCTAAGAACAATACTCTTTACATAACCATAGGGTAGTTATCAATTCAAGAAACTTAATACTAAAATACTTCATAGTCCACATTCCAATTTTTCCATTCATCACAACAATGAAGTTCATGGCATTTTGCACCTGGAAAGTTTAATCCAGAATCAAATAATGCATTTCATATGTCTCCTTAGTATTTTCAAATCAAGAACAGTTTTTGTTTGTTTGTTTGTTTTGTTTTGGTTTGGTTTGGTTTTGGTTTTTCGAGACAGGGTTTCTCTGTGTAGCTTTGGAGCCTATCCTGTCACTTGCTCTGGAGACCAGGCTGGCCTCCAACTCACAGAGATTCACCTGCCTCTGCCTCCTGAGTACTGTGATTAAAGGCTCGAGCCACCAACGCCTGGTAAGAACAGTTCTTTATACTTTTGCTTTTTCCATTTTATTTATGTGTGAGTATGTCACCATGCATGGCAATCAGAGGACAACTTGTAAGAGTCAGTTCTCTCCTTCCATCAGGTGGGTTTCTGGGATCACCACGCTCAAGTCATCAGGTGTGATGATAAGAATCTTTACTTCTCAAAAAAAAAAATGTTCACACCTTTAATCCCCATACTGGGAGGCAGAGGCAGGTTGATCTCTATGAGTTCAAGGCCAACCAGGGCTACAGAGTTCCAGGACAACCTCCCTCCAAAACAATACAGAGAAACCCTGTCTTGAAAAACTAAAAAAGAACAAGAAAAAAACAACCCCCCACCAAAACAAAAAATCTTTGCTTCTAAGCCGTCTCACTAGCCCTAGTCTTTTTGCCTTTGTTTTTTAAGAATATAGGCTAGCTACTTCATGGAATTTTAAGATTTAAGTTTCCCCACGATTACCCAGGTTAAGCATTTTGAACAAAAATATCACAGAACTGATGATATCACGCCAAGAAACACATAAGCTAGGCATCGTGGCACATGCCTCTTTTTCCAAAATTCAAGGTTGAGGCAGGAAAAATCCCAAATCCAAGGCCAGCCAGGGATACACAGCCAGCCTGTCCTGTCCAAGGAGATCATATCTACCCTTGCTCCCTAAAACAATGGCACACAGTAACTGTTTGCCCTTGTGGTGATATTAATTCCATGGTTTCAAACTTTTTCCTCTAGTAACTAGAAAGTAGTAAGTGGGAAACATTTCTGATGCCATGCCCATGAATTTCTCCCAAATTTAGCATCCTTCCACCATTCTTGCCTATACCAATCTTGAATTATATATGAGCACTAACTAGTAGTTTACCAACACTTTTACATTTACCAATACTATGAAAACACGTTATTATCTTCCCTACTCCCTTTCAGTACCAATTAAATTGCTACAGTATTCCTTGAATTCTATTCTAGCTCTAAACACCAGTCAAGAAAGGACTACACTATATCAAATTTGGAGAAAGACACAATTACTGTTTTAAAAGGAGAGAAAGAAGGGGGAAAGAGGGAGGGGAAAGAAATAATTGCTGCAAAATTTAAACAAACCTCTGTAGTAAGTAAGGGAGTGCCACATCAAACAGAAGCATCATGGTAGTTGCTGTTGAGTTTGTATAGAAAGCATACAGACAGTGACAAACGCACCTGCCAACCGTATCTGAAGAATTCCAAGTTACTGCTAGTGCTGACCACTCCAGAATTACCTGTAACCCAGTTCAAAGAACTGCATTCATGCATCCATCCCTGCAACCAATCGCATATTGTGCAACTTCACACAATCTTTGGTCAGATGGAAACACTCAAGAAGATAGTGTAATCCCACCAACATGGGAGACGGGTAGGATAATTGCCTCAAATTAGGTCAGCCTGGGCTTACAATGTAAGAGACTACCTCAAAATAAAGGCAAGATAAGGCTAGGGATTCAGCAGAGTGCTTGTCTATCATGTGAGAGGCCTTGGGTTCAATCCCCATTATTGAAAGGAAAACAGAAAAATCAGACAAATTAGACGAAAAATGTAATACACACACATTAGAGTTTAATAAAACCATATTATGTCCAAAGTAGAATAATTTTACCAGTATAGTCAACTTTATAAAAAGACAAAAAAAAGCAGAGCCAAGTGTGGTGGTATATTCTTATAAGACTAGGGCACCTGAGACACTGAGGCAAGCTGATCACCACAAATTTGAACCCAGTCTAGGATACATCTTTTTTTAAAAGAACATCTTTAAAAAATAAAATAAAAACATAAAAACAAAGACCAACAAGATGTCTCAACAGGTAAAGGTACTTGCCTCCAGGTTGACAGCCATGTGACTACATGTAGAAGGGGAAACCTGACATACTGTCCAAGCACACATATACTAAATAAAGCTAATAAAAACAAAAGCACGGCTGTGCCTCAGTCAGAAGGCCAAGAAAACCCTGGGGATTGAACTTGGTGTCAGGTTTTGTTACCTGATTATATTAGGGATACAAGAATGTGAAGTCATTTTGTAGAAATATCATCAAGTATTATCTTTTTTAGGGGGAGTGACAGGGTTTCTCTGTGTAGCTTTGTAGACTAGGCTGGCCTTGAACTCACAGAGATCTGATTGTGTGCGCCACCACCGCCCGGCGCAAAGTAATAGTCTCTAATGTAAGTCTTTTTCCTGTTTCCAGGCTCTCCATGATGAGTGACTTGAGGTCACTTCCCTCTCTGTAAGCCATCTCATAAACCCAGGGTTATTACTTCTAAAACTGATTTTGATTAACAGGCAGTTAGAATGTCACCCTTAAACCTAGATGGTCATTTTCAAAATCTGTTTCTCTTCTTTCTTTCTGAGACAGGGTCTCATGTAGCCAGTGGTTTTTGGTTTTTTTGTTGGTTTGCTATTTCATTTTTGAGATGGGTCTCACTATACAACCCAAGATGGCCAAGAACTTATTATGATCCTCCTGCCTCAGATGAGTGCTGTGATTACAGATGTGTGTGTACATCTGGCTCAAACTAAACAGTGACACAAGCTTATAATCCCAGAATTTTCTATCAAGGCAAGGGATCAGGAGTTCAATGTCATCCTGGACTACACAGCCAGTTGGAGACTAACGTTTCTCAAAACAAACAAAAAAGGCTCTCTAGCCAAGCTAAACAGAAAGAATCCTAACACTAGATAATGGACTCAATAGATAGGTCTCCCAACTTCCATAGGATTCAGGATAGAAGGGCTGGGAATCGATCAGTATGTAAGAGCATTTTCTCTGCAAGCATGAGGACATGAGTTCAAATCCAATGCCGTCTTGTAAAAAGCTAGGCATGGCTGCTGGATCCTGAGAATTCCCTGGCCAGCCACACTTGCCAAATAGGCAAACTCAGGTTCAGTAAGAGACCCTGTCTCAAGACAGTAAAGCAGACAGCAATAGAGGGGATAGAGGAAGACATCAAAGTTCTTCTTTGGCCTCCACATGAGAATCAGACTGTTACCTGCACACCCACAGGAATGTACCACACAAACACACACACACATATATACACTTAGGAATATTTGTTTAACTATGCAAAGGTGTTGCATTTGTTTAATTATTGTATTAGTGTTTTACCTTGCCTGCCTAAAGTACCAGATTGGTCTAATAAAAGCTAAGCAGCCAATAGTAAGGGAGGAGGTATAGGTGGGACTTCAGGGCAGAGAGAGTAATTAGGAGGAGGAATTTAGGGTTGGAGGAAGAAAGAAAAAAGAGACGCCATGGAGACGCCAGGAGCCTGCCAGCCAGCCAGCCATGAGGATGCAGGAAAATAGGACATACAGAATGAAAGAAAGGTAAAAAGTTCCATGCAAAACATAGATGAATAGAAACAGGTTAAATTACATTAAAAGAGCTAATGGGACAAGCCTAAGCTAGGGCCGAGAATTCATAATAGTAGTAAGTCTCTGT